TTATTGAAAAATATTGAACAAATATTTTAATTAACTTTCATTGAAACTGGAATTTTTACGAGCTGTTTGGAAATGGAACTAGGGATTTGACTTTGATATTTCTATTGAGATTCTATGTTAGATTATGTATATGATTTAAATGCTCGTCACTGCACTCAGCCTTTATTTACTTTGGTTACTTACTGGGTTGGCGTACTCACATTACTCCCTGCACCTTGTGTGTAGATCCAGGTGCCAGAGCATCAGAGTGAGAGCTTTCAGCAGCTTCTGAGTATTTCCGGAGATAGCAAGGTAGCTGCACGGCATTCGCAGCCCTGCCTATCTCCTTCCTATCCTTAGTGTTGTTTATTTCAGTCTTGTTCTTGTATTGAGTAGACAATACTGGATAGTATCTTAGTGGCTCATGACTAGTGACACCAGGATCGGGCAGTGTGGATGTATTTGCATATTTGTTTTTTCGCGTATTTTGTTATATTAAAATGGAAGACTTATGATCATAACTGATTCGGAAATGAATTTACAAAAGTCCTTTATGTTATAAGTGTTGAATCGGCTTGCCTAGTACTGTGATAGGCGCCATCACGATCGGGGTGGTTCGGGGTCATGACAATTCTTTAGGCCAAAAGGCATAACGTTATAACAGTAAGTCCCCTATCTGTAATAAAGGAAGTTTTTTCTTCATCTGAAGGTTCCATTTTTATTTGATTATAGCCTGAATAGGCATCTAAAAAGCTCGATAGTTCGTGTCCTGCAGTAGCATCAATTAGTTGATCTATGTGTGGTAGTGGGAAAGAATCTTTAGGGCAAGCTTTATTCAAATCAGTATAGTCTACACAAATTCGCCACTTACCATTCTTTTTGGGCACCACTACAGTATTAGCTAGCCAATTAGGATATTTTACCTCGCGGATAGACCCGATTTTTAAGAGCTTTTGTACCTCATCTTGAATCACCTGATTCTTGAAGGACCCTTGCTTCCTTTTCTTCTGTTTGATAGGTGGATATGTCAGATCTTCATTCAACTTATGGGTCATTACCTCCGATGGTAGACCTTTCATATCTGAATGCGACTAAGCAAAGCAATATGCATTAGCTTTTAAAAATTCAATTAACTTACTTTTCATCTCCGGACTGAGGTTGGTTCCAATGTAGAATTTTCTGTCCTGCCAATGTACAAATAATACCATAGCTTCAAGTTCCTCGATTGTTGTTTTGATGTTTTCATTTTCTTTTGGTTCTTGAATAGTATCAGGCCTTGAGTCTACATCTGTTTGTCCATCTTCAGTCGAGGTTTGTGTTGCTAAGTCCTCAACTGAATTCTGTAATTGCTATTTTTCATCTGCAGCATCCTTCTTCACGCTTGAATCTGCCACTGAGTTAATGTTTTGGGAAGCTTGTTGATCACCACGGATTTGTCTTATTCCCCATTGTGAAGGGAACTTGATAACCTGATGTAAGGTAGACGGAACAACATCCATCTCGTGAATTCACGGTCTGCCGAGAATCATATTGTATGCCATGTCCATATCTATCACTTGAAATTTAGTATCTTTGACCAGTCCTTCTGCGAATGTGGTAAGTATTATCTCCCCTTTTGTTACAACACTCGAGTTGTCAAAACCAGACAAGGTCCGTGCTTTGGGTACCAATTTATCATCGGCTTGCATCTCGTTTACCACTCTTAAAAGAATGATATTTACAGAACTACCTGGATCGATCAAAACTCGTTTTACGTTAGTATCATGTACAAGGAAAGATATACCAGGGCATCATTATGTGGGTTCAACACGCCATCTGCGTCGGCATCATCGAATGTTATACTATCTTCTTCCAAAACTTGGCGAACTCGCTTCCCGTAGGTGACTGTGATTTTTGACACCTTCTTTGTTGTCGTATATGTTATGCCGTTGACCTCATCCCCTCCACTTATGACATTAACCGTTCTCTTTGGTGATGGAGGTTTCGGTGGTTCCTGCATATTCTTCATATATGCTTGCTTACCCTTCTCATTAATCAATTCGGTTAAGTAACCTTGTTTTAGTAGGTGCTCTACTTCACCTTGCAGTAGTTTGCAATCTGTTGTTTTGTGACCGTGATCATTATGAAACTCGCACAAAAAATCGGGGTTTCTCCTGTGTGGGTTCGATCTCATTTATTTTGGCCACCGCACTTTATCTCCCATGCTTCTTAGAACTGCTACCAACTCGGACGTGCTAACATTAAAACTGTAACCTCCAATTTTCGCCTTTGAACTTCCGTCATTGTCTCGCGTATCTCGCGTATTTCGTTCCTTTCCAAACCGAGATGACAAACCCGAATCTCTGTCCTTTGATCTGGAATCATACCTTAGGTTTTCTTATTTCGAACGTGAATCCGTTCCTGCTTGTCCCATATAAGTTTCGTACCTGTTCTTACCGGACCTTTTTCAGTTTTTGATCGCCATGAACTCACCCTTTCATCTCTCCGGGATTGAATGATAGTGTCTTCTATCCGCAGCTTCGTGCTATACCTGTTGTAAACATCATTCCAAGTTGTTGCAGGAAATTCTCGTAAGTTTTCTTTGAGTCTTCTCGTGGCTTTCGAGCTTTTTCCATTTAAATTACTGGCAAATGCCATAGCCGCCCAATTGTCAGGTACACATGGCAGCATCATCCTCTCACGCAGGAACCTGTCTACGAATTCCCTGAGTAACTCCGTATCTCCTTGTTTTATTTTGAAAATGTCTTCCATCCTTTTTTCTACTTTTTGAGCTCCCGAATGTGCTTTTATAAATGAATCTGCAAGCTCATCAAAAGAATCAATGGAGTTTTCAAGTAAAAGAGAATACCATGTCAGTGCTCCCTTCGTGGGGGTTTCACCGAATTTTTTGACCAATACTTATTCGATCTCTTTCTTGGTCAAGTTTTTGCCCTTCACACCAGTGATAAATACGGTTACGTGATCTCGTGGATCAGTTGTTCCATCGTATTTTTGGGTTGTCAGGCATCTTAAACTTTTTTGGAATAAGCAATGGAGCGGCACTTGACTTCCAAGGTTGTTGAGAATATTTTTCCACATCTACTCCTTTGATTATAGGTGGCACACCGGGTATCTGCTCTATGCGATCATTTTGCTCCTTGAGCTATTTCTGCAAAGTTAGTACTAAACTTTGTAAATAAGAATTAACTGGGATACCTGGCCCTGCATCGCGAGATTCGCTTGGAGTTCCTCAGCTGCCTGAATTAGCAGGTCTCGAGCGTGGATTCTCTTTGGTTGCGGTGTTGTTTGGAGGTGGAGTTGGTGGTACAGTTGGCAACCTATTGGCAAAAGCTTGGAGAGCATTGTTGACCTGTTCGACGATTAATTGTTTCAATGCTGCATCAATAGCTTGATCGTTCTCATGTTGGTCATTCATATTCGATTCGGATCTAACAGGAGTCCCCTCTCGAGATTATCGAGGAGAGTTTTGCGGTGAGGGGAGTGGAGTTTCATCACCTTGTTGATTTTGCTGATTCAACTGATGTTGCTGATTTTGTTGGTTTTGTAGGTTTTGTTGGTTGTTGTCGTTGACGTTCGACATTATTTTTTGCCAGAAGAATTGATTTGGAAAGTAAAAAGATTATCAGATTCCCGTAATGAAACCAATTGTTTAACCAGAAAATAGGAATTTCGGTCAAAGCTTAATTTTAGAAGTACTCGGGTTACTGATAATCAAGAAAAAGAATATTTTTGCGATGAGAAAGGAAAATTAGAGTTTGAAATAGCAAAACAATCAATATAAAGCAAGAGTAAATAAGTGTATTCCAGTAATAATCAGAACGTCTCCATACAAATGACATTTCACTTCCTTTTATAGCTACTTCTAGGTACAACGTCTCTTCCTTCTCGTAATCGAATCATTATGAGCATTTAATAACATTAATGAAACGTTATAATTGGCAATCGTAACTGTTTCGTGAAGATTCTGTAACGTTTCTAATCATTCACGCTCATTAATTGAAGATTAACGAATCTGTACTTTTTGCTGTCTTGATTCACTCCACTGGTGTCTCTCCAAATTACGAAGAGACTCGAGCAACCGTTTCTTCTTGTCTTTTATACGTTTTGCTCGTTCCTATTAAGACTCACATCTCTTTAAGTACTCTTCTCCAGCTGTCACTTTTCTAATGATCCACGTGTCTTGCCATGTCAGCTACATAATTAATTCCACGTATAATATTTATTTTTCCCAATACAACTTGTCTTTTTCTTGAGAGATTATTAATGGACCTCGTTGGCACCACATGTATCATGTATGTAGGTAACAACTCCTTAATTAATCAAAATGTCGCCCTAGAATGAATTGACTTATATAGTATTCTATTCTTGTCGAGGAACAATTACGACACCTGTATAGCTCCGAGAAGAAATGGATGAGGACAAAACCTAAAATGATGGAGTTCAGAATTTCATTAAAGCAATAAAATTTTGTCCAAATACACATGAAGAAATATATTCCTACTGTAATAAGACTTCAATTAGGGATGCTTTGGTTCAGTGCTAGCTAGCTCAATCATTTGCACAACCAGATGTCATTGTTATTTAGCCAATGAAGAGAAGCGAGGAAAAAAGTTTCTGTGTGACCTATAGATCACGGTTCGGATCATGGAATTAGCCATTAACGCTTATATCAGAATATGCTGCCTATATCACACTCGTTTGACGTGCGACCCTTCTCCACACCCCTTTTCTTATTACTCCATTTGTTAATCTAGAGGCTTTATTACAACAACGTAACAACAATAACATGCCAGTGTAATCCCACAAAGTGGAGTATGAGGAGGGTAGAGTATATGCAGACCTTACCCCTGCATTTAAGAAGACAGAGAGGTTGTTTCCGATAGACCCTCAGCTCAGGAAGGAAAAAAGGGAGGAGCAATAACAAGAAATCTAGAGGCCTTATTCAAGAGTATTATTTTAAAATGATATCAATCATCAAAGGGGTTGTTTGGTGCAGACTAGGAATATTCATCAGTATGGGATAGCTAATATCAAGATTTTGATATAAAATTTATTCTGGTATTAGCTAATACCAACGACCTTATAAGTTATAAACTAATTAACAATGTCTAAAAAGTAATAAAAAGTCTAGCCAAACAAAACAAGAAACAATATTAGAGACCAAGAGCAAAAGGAAAACCAGTGGAGCTCAACCAACTGTTTCCAGCAATAAACTTGTTAGGAGTATAATCTTGAGCCTCAGTTGCACTAGTAATAACTTTAAAACCTTTCCATTTCACTCTCCCTGATGTCCCAGCTCCTGCACCTGTATTCTCATACTCCCCATAAAACAACGTATCAAGTGCAAAATTCCCATTCCACTCGTGCCACCCTGTCGGACTAATCACATCCGCGATCGAACATTGCATGATCACAGTTCTAGAATATTCCTTCCACGGCCGTCCTAAATACGTAGGGAAATTTTTCTGAACTGATTTCATGTCCGAAGTAGCGCCAATTCTAGATTTATGAATCACTATCCCAGTGTTCTGGTTGGCATCCGTTCGCCCTTGGGCCGTGATCATGTTTTTCTGGCCCGGCCCTGGACGTCTAGCGTGGATGTCGCAGTCCTGGAGTACGGCTGCAGCGTTACCAAAGATGAAATCGACTGTGCCTGAAATGAAACATTGGACGAAGAATTGACGATTGGAGTGGACGTAAAGAGTGTCTTGGTAGCCTAACATGTCACATTTGTAGAAGGCGGATAAATCTGCACCCACTCGAAGTGCAACTGCTTGGTGCTTTTCGTGCCCTGCTGTGTTTTCGAATGTTATGTCTCTGGCTAAGAACCCTTCTCCTACTGCGGCTGCAAAGTTAGAATAACAAAAGATTAATTTGTGGAATTGATATGAATGTGAGATAACCCTTCAAGATAGACCAATTTGAACTCGATACATAAAAAAGGAATTTACCTTTAAATATTGTTTGCCCTTACATATTCTTTATTAGTTAACAAAGCTCAATAGTTTTGTTTTTTATTCCCCTTCTTGTTTTTTTGTTGACTCAAATGCCGTTACTTGATATGTAGAAAATGTTTTTCAGCGGACAGAGAAAGCATAGCATTATATATTCTTGTTGTCCACTAAGTAAGAATTTAACTTTTATATACTGGTTGCTCAACTAAAAGATAACTACGAATAGTTATCAAATAATAAGTGAGATTACTAACCTAAAAAATCAGCAAGTTAAAATATATAAATGGTGTAAAAATACTTCCACTACATGTAAGTTAAATCATTAAGTGCTCGTTTGGTACGAGGGATAAGGAATAATTAATCTCGAGATTAAATTTAAGAAGAGTACTTTATCCCATGTTTGGTTGGTAGAACAGTACAGTATAATTAATCCCGGGATCAGTTATCCTGGGATTGTAGTATTTTTTAATCCCCATGGGAGGGTGGAATAACTAATCCCAGGATTGTTTGGGTCAAAATTAGGTCGAGTTTATTGAATGCAAATGGACGAGCGAAGGCCGACGTCGAGACCAAGCACGGTCCAGTGGCAAGGAGTCGCCCAGAAAGAGACCAGCGCCAAGGTCGAGTAGAGAACAAACGACAACAATGGTTAGAATATTCCTAGGATTAGGAATAAGAATATTCCATTGAATATTCCCCCAATTGTATTTTTTAGAGTTTTCTAGGAATATCCCTTATAAATAAGAGGAGAGAGGGAATAAAAGACTCTCTGGACTTTTGATGAAAGAACATCTTGTGAAGAGTTGACTATCAAAAATATACAAAAGCTTGTCTCGTCTCCTTTGTTTGATTCCATTACATAACATTCCTCTTTAGTTCACAAGATCCAAGAACACATAGTTCACTTCCATTGTGTGCTGTCACACGGTTTAGTCAGAGGAAGGAATCATCCATCTCATCCAACATTTGGGTGACAAATTTCTTCTTATTACATTTAATGCCATTTATCACATTTATTGCATGTTTTCATCCTCATAATTATTAATAGTCACCGAGCATTAACTCGGCATTTGTTGACTTGAACACGGTCCCATACCATCCAAATTGTTTAATTTCGGATCTAGAATTTATTACTTTTAACTTGGATTCACCCCTTGTCTATTTATTAAATTGGTTTAACTAAAAGGGCTTAAAACTTTTTGGTCAAACAGGGATAACTAATTCTGGAAACATTAGTCGTGGGATAAATTCTTTCCGACCAAATGACTCCTAAAAATATTGTCCCTTTAATCCAATTTATTAAGCCATAACCAAAGAAAACATCTTGCTCTATGCGAGACCAAAAGAAATAGCGTCTTACTCCATCGCAGTCTTTCATAAATACATATCAAATTAAATGGAGAAATTAAAACAAATGTTGATTTAAAGGAGAAGGAAAGAGCTTAGCTCACAATGACATGGAATGACCACCAAAAAGTCCATAATGTCCGGAGAAATTTACGGCAGGCGCTCCCAACTAGAAAGCATCAATAGTGAACAGTGATCAAGACTCAAGAGTACGTAATAGCCAAATGGATGTCAAACTTGTATAGGTCAAAATCTGATCAAAGAATTTTACTTAAGGAAGAACGACCAAGAATCAACCAAGTCGAAGTCACGTATAGGAAGCAATATACCAGCGAGTGATGTAGCTACGGTCGAGGTCGAGTACTCAATTCGGCGCGAACGGCTAGTTCAACACTTAGAAATTTTAGAGGAATATTCTACGGGATATTCAAAGAATTTAGGTACTCCGGTTAAGGACCGCTAGGTAAGGAAAGTGTTTTGTATAATTATCATGGGAGAGAGTAACAGGGGGGGGGGGGGGGGCTGATAGGAACACACACACACACAAACATGTACATCTCTCTGAAGGGAAGATATTCCCTGATCTCAGGCTCCTCGCCGGAAGAGGAGATAAGAGCATAGGATCTCGATATTCATTTGTAACTCGACTTAATCAAATAATCGGAAGCTGGTCTTATTCAAGAATGGTGATTCTTTTCATTTATGTATTCTTCATCGTCATTTGATATTTTAGAACAATCATCTATTTCTTCCATTATGAAATTCAATCGCAACTATAATCAAATTTTATGTTCGGTTATGCTTGTTTATTCCTACCTTCTATTTCAGATCTAGAATAAATTATTTCTGGCTAGGATTTGCCCTCTGTCTATTTATTACATTGATTCAACAAAAAGGACCTAAAACTTTTTGGTCGAACTTTTTGGTCGAACTCGGTCGAATTGATAAATCTACATTCGACCTCGTTCGAATTAGTCTAAATTCAATCTCATTCGAATTTACAGCAAGACAATTTGACCTCGCTCGAATTGATAAATCTACATTCAACCTCGTTCGAATCAGTCTAAATTCGATCTCATTCGAATATACTGCAAGACAATTCCACCTCGCTCGAATTGATAAATCTACATTCGACCTCGTTCGAATCAATCTAGATTCTATCACATTCCAATTTACAGCAAGACAATTCGACCTCGCTCGAATTGATAAATCTACATTCGACCTCGTTCGAATCTGTCTAAATTCGATCTCATTAGAATTTACAGCGAGACAATTCGACCTCGCTCGAATTGATAAATCTACATTCGACGAATCAGTCTAAATTCGATCTCATTCGTATTTACAGCAAGACAATTCGACCTCACTCGAATTGATAAATCTACATTCGACCCCGTTAGAATCAGTATTAATTCATCTCATTCGAATTTACAGCAAGACAATTCGACCTCGCCCGAATTGATAAATCTACATTCGACCTCGTTCGAATCAGTCTAAATTCGATCTCATTCGAATTTACATCAAGACAATTCGACCTTGCTCGAATTGATAAATCTGCATTCGACCTCGTTCGAATCAGTCTAAATACGATCTCATTCGAATATACAACAAGACAATTCCACCTCGCTCGAATTGATAAATCTACATTCGACCTCGTTCGAATCAGTCTAGATTCTATCTCATTCGAATTTGCGGCAAGACAATTCAACCTCGCTCGAATTGATAAATCTACGTTCGACCTCGTTCGAATCAGTCTAAATTCGATCTCATTCGAATTTACAACAAGACAATTCGACCTTGCTCGAATTGATAAATCTACATTCGACCTCGTTCGAATCAGTCTAAATTCGATCTCATTCGAATTTACAGCAAGACAATTCGACCTCGCTCGAACTGATAAATCCACATTCGACCTCGTTCGAATCAGTCTAAATTCGATCTCATTCGAATTTACAGCAAGACAATTCGACCTTGCTCGAATTGATAAATCTACATTCGACCTTGTTCAAATCAGTCTAAATTCAATCTCATTCGAATTTACAGCAAGACAATTCGACCTCTCTCTAATTTATAAATCTACATTCGACCTCGTTCGAATTAGTCTAGATTCTATCTCATTCGAATTTACAGCAAGACAATTTGACCTCGCTCGAATTAATAAATCTACATTCGACCTCGTTCGAGTCAGTCTAAATTCGATATCATTCGAATTTACAGCAGGACAATTCGACCTCGCTCGAATTAATAAATCTAAATTCGACCTCGTTCGAATTAACCTACATTCGGCCTCATTCGAATTAACTTACATTCAACCTCGTTCGGATTACCCTACATTCGAACTCATTCGAATTTACTTACATCCGACCTCACATCAATCCACATTCGACCTCGTTCGAATCAACAAATCTAAATTCAACCCCGCTCGAATTTACAGCAAGCCTACATTCGACCTCGCTCGAATTAACTACCGAATGTCAGAGACTTATTGCAAGAAGATCTTAGAAACTCAAAGAGAAAAGAGAAGGAAAGGCCAAAGACGTACAACCAAGGACAAATCAACTGTTCCATTCAAAAAACATATATATAGTGTCTTACAAAGGGCCAAAAGGGGGCTCCCACCCAACTAACTAAGTACAGAAAAATGAAATACAAAAGGGGAAATTAAGTACAAAAGCTTCACTTAGCGTCATCTCCGTCCATACCGTCATCCCTCTCCTCGTTTGGTTCAGCGGCTTCACCTCTACCGTCGCCCTCTCCATCAGAGTGCTGGTCATCAAAGGGAAGTCCATCCTCGGCCTCATTATCTCCACCGGCCTCCGGTGCGCGGCGTTATAGCCACAGGCGAGCTGGGCCTCATGAGCTTTAACACGAGCTTCTTCAAAAGAAGCCCCAGGAACATTCCCAGCTGCCAACAAACCCTTATATATTTCCCGTTGGGCCTCAGTGTGGATCCACATCTCGTACAAAGGGCGATGAACGACAACAGAGGCGGAAGCAGGAGGAGTCGAAGCCAACGATTGAGCCCTCTCAGCCTCGAGAGCATCAATTTGATCGCTCAAAGTCGAGACGTCCCCCTCTAGCCCGCCAATTCTCTCATCAAGCCGCGCCTCCCTTAGAGCGGTCGTCTCCATCTCTGTTGCGCATTCGGACCTGAGAACGCGGATAGAATCTTCTAGTGCCGAAACTCTTGCCAAGGCCGCTACTCGGGCTCCCTCAACACTTTCCAACTCGGTCACCTTCTCCGCCAATTCAACACTTAGACCGGCGACTCTAGTGTCACTCTGCTCAAGCTCCACCCGCAGGGCCACCACATTCGCCAAAGATCAACACACTCAGCACCAAATCTCTTGCCCACCTCGAGCTCTTCTTCTTTAGCCCTAAGCAGCCCCTCGAGTTCGCTGCATCTACCAATAGACCGCCTCAGGTCCCCATCCTTCTGCTCCAACTCCTTCCTAAGGGACTGAGGATTGCTGCCCGCCCGGAGCCGCGCATGCATCTCGCGGCACTTGTCACGAAGTCTGTGGTATTTTGAAACCATTTTCTGAAAAGCCTCTCCTCGCGGCGAATACTCTCAGTTTCCAAAATAAAAGACTGAATAAAGAAAAGAGAACAGAGAGAGAAAGTCAGCAAGAGTAGAAGACGTAAAACGAAGAAAGCAATAAACTCGCCCTCAAAGCCATTCCGGCTACGCCCCGTGATAAGAAAACATCGCTGATCTCCTAGAGGGACCTGCTTTCAGTAGCAGAACAAAGGAGGGCAAATTGGGTGCCGGGCTCACCGTAACCTCCAACAAATCGCAGCAATCTCGATCACACGGGAGGAACTATCCGTTCCCGCCTCCACCCGAGTTAACCCCATTTCAAACATGTTTATGTCCTTCTTTTTCCCTTTCTCTACTTTACAGCCGAGAAGGCGCCTCCTCTGCTAGTCGCTGACATTCGCGAGTGGGTGAGCCAGGTTTTGCCCCATACGATAGGGATTCATGAATGGTCGTTGTTTCACGAGAGATTCAGACGTAGTCCTTCTACCGATCGATGGGTCACGAGGAGGGTGAGGGCTCCCATACCCACTTTTCGTCAGTCGAGTCTCATCACTGGATCTGCACCGATTCTAGCTGCAAGTGAGAGCGTTCAGTCCGCTACTACTTTACATACTACGACCCTTCCTGGGCTCGGCCGTCGTGAGGTTGCTCGTCAGGCGTAGGCTCCGCTTTCCGTGGTTCATTTTCTGGATGAATCGTCTCAGGACGACGGCGAAGAGGCTCCATTAAAGAGGCGACGAATAAGGGCTGATGGGGTACCCAGGACGGAGGGGCCTTCGAGGGACAATCCCGTGTTGGTGGTGTTTGAGCCTGCTGGTGATGCCGAGTTAGATGAGGAGATCGTGTCCCCCTCGGGAGTGGAGGTGGTGCCCATTTTTGGCGTGGGGGAGTCTATCGTGGTAGGGGGGTAGAACTCAGAGGTTGCTGCGATCATTCCGCATGGTCCATCGACTTCACAATAGGCTCGTGCTCCCTCTTCGGCCAGCGAGAGGGCAAAGGGCATAATTGTTGATGACTATGAATCCGGTTCAAATATTGACCCCGAGAAAATGACGCAACGTTGCTTCCAAAGCAGAGAAGGCACCGGAAACAACGCAACATATAGGGAACGTGCGCCATAATGACGCATGACAGATTGGCATCATTTCAAACTGATATAACGATCATGCACGACTTTCGAAACATCACATCGTTATCTCGCTATGAAGGGTCACTCTTCGACCAATGTGCTCAGATTTCTCAAAGGTGCAACTGGCGAAATCCGCCCACTGTGCCCGCCCAAAGGCGACCCCGATAGGCGGAGGGACTAACTGTATAGGTCAAAATTTGATCAAAGAACTCTACTTAAGGAAGAACGACCAAGAATCAACCAAGCCGAAGTCACGTATAGGAAGCAATATATCAGCGAGTGATGTAGCTACGGTCGAGGTCGAGTACTCAATTCGGCCCGAACGGCTAGTTCAACACTTAGACATTTTAGAGGAATATTCTACGGGATATTCCAAGAATTTAGGTACTCCGGTTAAGGACAGCTGGGTAAGGAAAGTGTTTTGTATAAATATCATGGGAGAGAGTAACAAAGGGGGGGAGGGGGGCTGATAGGAATACACACACACACAAACATGTACATCTCTCTGAAGGGAAGATATTCCCTGATCTCAGGCTCCTCGACGGAAGAGGAGATAAGAGCATAGGATCTCGATATTCATTTGTAATTCGACTTTTATCAAATATGCGGAAGCTGGTCTTGTTCAAGAATGGTGATTCTTTTTATTTATGTATTCTTCATCATCATTTGATATTATTAGAACAATCATCTATTTCTTCCATTATGAAATTCGAGCGCAACTGTAATCAAATTTTATGTTCGGTTATGCTTGTTTATTCCTACCTTCTATTGCAGATCTAGAATAAATTATTTCATGCTATGATTTGCCCTTTGTCTATTTATTACATTGGTTCAACAAAAAGGACCTAAAACTTTTTGGTCAAACAAAACCTTATGAAGTATTTTAATTGAATGAATGCGTGTTTTTTTTAATAATAGTGGTATCCGGTTTAACACCATGGGTATTGTGGAGGTGAGCAGAGTTGCTTTTACTATATTTTTGCTGTCAGGAGGAGCGTATCACTGGTGGAAGGCTTACGAGGAGCGTATGCCAGCTGATGCAGCCCCACTCATTTGGGCTCGGTTTTCAGAGATGTTTTTGTGAGAGGCAAACGCTATTCACCGGACTTGATCAGATAATAACATAGTACTTTTGTCTCCGGTGAGATTTGAACATAAGGCATGATCGTGCTCGAATCACTTCATAAACCACTAGACCACACTCTTAATTAGGTGCAAATGCATGATTTTCGGTATACCAACTTTTATTTTATGATACTAAATTTAGATTTAATGCAAAGATTATGTAACTACCTTTGTGTTTGTTGGAGGCCTATGTAGCCAAGTTGTCCTTCCTGAAATGTGGACTTTGTTATTATTAATGATAATTTTTCACCGTTAATATAAAAATAATATTTAATATAAGTACGTAGTCTATAAAATATTCAAATATTTAATACTATATACTTTGAAGTTTGAAATTCTAATTTGGGTTCACGTGCAACTGCAATTCCACCTCTACAAGGAAAACAACAAAAAAGTTCTTACACATTACACCTTTGCCACATGCAACTCCGCGTCATCTCGAACAAAAAACTACGGCATGCTCTTAGTTGATATTACTAGTTAGGTCCATTTGAATTTAAATATCTTACTTTTCTTATTAATTTATTTGAAAAACTACAATTATGCTCTTATATCTACTTTTAGTTTAAGATCAGCCACAAGATTCAGATAATTTTCTTCAAATTCTTCGCGCCACATATCACTTTACAGACTCTGCTCCTCGGTAGTCAAACTAAAGCTATGGTTGTTGGCTTACAAGTCATAACTTCGAACACTAGTACGTATATATATATTATGACATATGCCAGCCAATCAATAATATTCTCTCCCCTGTTAAAAGGACAAGGGGGAGGTTAATCTTTACGATTTAATTTACCTCACTCGTCAGCAATTTCACGAAGCAACAAGCCAACAACTATGTTAATTTGTAGCAATAATCTATACTACGAGGAAATTTGAATTGAAGTATTAAAACCTCATCCCGTTACCTGCTATATGCGACTTAATAATAAACACCGCTTCCACTGTTCTAATTTATGTGGCATGCAGTGGCGAAGTCAGGAATTTTACTAAGAGATGTCAAAATATAAAAAGGTAAACAGACGAAGAAAATAAAGGAAGTTAACGTATAGTATATACACATAAAACTTATTTTTTACCTAGCTACATAGTGTATTTTTTTGACAAAGGGGTGTCAATTGATACCCCCTCCTAAGGTGGCTCCGCCACTAGTGACATAGACTTCGAGAATCAAATGAGTTATTATTTAATTTACCATAATTTTTTATACGACTATTTAAGTATTTTGAATTGTTAATTATATATTGTGACTTATTGTACATTTTACATAATTTTAAGTATGTTATTCCAAAATTAAGAAGTGTGACTCGAAAATTTTGAATTACACAAATGGAGACTGAGGGGCTATCTAGCTAGAAATTAATAATGCGCGAAAAATACTAAAATGAAAAGCTAATTATAGATTGAACTTACCAACAGTGGCAGAATGGAAGGTAGTGCTACCATCTTTGACATTCCTGCTTCCAGTAATTATAGTATTCTCTCTACCATCTCCCATAAACATTATGTTCTTCTTCTTCTTTGGCACCTCCACATTTTCTTTGTATACACCTGCCTTTATTCTAATCACATACCTCTTACTACTCTTTTCAGGTGCTTTTGCTACTGCTTCAGCCACCTTCTTGTAGTCTCCGCTTCCATCTGCCGCCACCACCACATCCGCCATCACCGACGGTGATTGCAGCAATCTTCTATCTCCGCCAGACAACCACTCCGGCCATGCTCCGCTGTTGAGTTTCCTGTTCACTTTGCCTGTATATATTGAGACATAAAAATGTGATTTTATTAAACAGTACTCGTACATAATTAGTAGCATGTTAAGAATATAATTAAGTACTTCCTCTGGTCCCCTTTACTTGCAGGTTGTATTTTACACTTTTTTTATTAAGGGACGCCAAATATATATATATATATATATA